GGAATAAAAAAAATCCTTGATATACAGCAGATATACTATTTTTGCAAGCCACAGAGAAGAGACTAAATAGAAGTTCAGCAGAAGGAAAGTAGTGTGATACAAAAGTTTGTGGGCTGGCACCATGGCTCACTTGGCTAATCCTCTGCCTGAGGCACTGGCACCCTGGGTTCTAGTCCTGGTTGGGCACTGGATTCTGTCGTGGTGGCTCCTCTTCTAGTCCAGCTCTCTGCTGTGGTCCGGGAGTGCAGTGGTGGATGGCCCAGGTCCTTGGGCCCTGCACCCACGTGGGAGACCAGGAGAAAGCACCTGGCTCCTGGCTTCGGATCGGTGCAGCGCACCAGCTGCAATGCACCAGCCGTAGTGGCCACTTGTGGGGTGAACCAATGAAAAAAAGACCTTTCTCTCTGTCTCTCTCTCTCTTACTAACTCTGCCTGTCAAAAAAAAATAAAAATAAAAAGAATTTTTAAAAAAGTTTGTGCAAGGCTAACAGGCACTGGTTAAGAATCTAACAAATTCATTAGGAAAAAAGTAAGAGTTTCTTTACCTCCTTCAATCATACAAATTATTTCCATCTAGGATAAAGAGAAAACTTTCCAATTTTTATATATAATTTTTTCATCATTGTTTTGTGGTTTTATTGTAGAAGGCTTTCTTATCCTGGGTTAAAATTATTGCATGGTATTTTATTTTCTTGTGACAATTATGAATATGTTTGTCCTTAAAATTCGTTTCCCACTGAGTTCACTATTATATACCAAAGTGCTACTGAATTCATTTTGTATTGTCAATTTTACTAAATTCATTTATCAGTTCCAGAATTCTCTTGATGATGTTCTTAGATTTATTCCCATATAGAACCATGTTATCTGCAAACAGAAATATAAATTTAAATTCTTACTTTCCTGTTTGAATAGATATTATTTCTTTTCTTCTTCACTTTTATTCATTTGAATCATTTCCTGTTTCTCTTAATTTAGCTAGAAAAATTAATTTTTTCAAAGAACCAGCTCTTCATTTTTTTATGGATTGATTTATTTATTTTAAAAGCAGACTTACAAAGAAGTAGAGGCAGAGAGAGAGAGAGAGAGAGAGAGAGAGAGGCAGTCTTCCATCTACTGGTTCACTGCCCAAATGGCCTCAACGGCCAGAGCTGCACTGATCCAAAGCCAGGAGCTTCTTCCAGGTCTCGCATATGGGTTGAGGGGCTAAAGGACTTGGGCCATCTTCTACTGCTTTCCCAGGCCATAGCAGAGAGCTGGACCAGAAGTGGAGCAGCCAGGACTTGCACTGGCTCCCATATGGAATGCCTGCACTACAGGCGGTGGCTTTACCTGCCATACCACAATGCTGGTCCCTCTTCATTTTATTTACTTTTAGTATTGCTTAAGATTCTTCCTTATTTATTTCTGCTTTGATCTTTATTATTCACTTTTTTACTGCCCTTGGATTTGACTCATTCTTGTTTTTTCTGGGTCATTGAGAAGGATAGTAGGGTACTTATCTGATATCTTTATTGTGTTTCTAGATGTTCGGCCAACTGAAGTCATAGTTTCAATTTCTATGTTTCCCTGATAATTGTGGGGACCTTCTAGGTGACTGCAGGAAATGACTGCAGAAATGAGGCTGTATTAGTTTGCTAACAAAATACCACAGATAGTGTGATTTTAATCAGAGAAATTTACTTTTCAGAGTTGTGGAGATTGAAGACAGAAGGTCAAAGTCATAACAAGCTTGATTTTTTTCTAGAGGACTTTCTGTCAATGGACCTCACATATATATTAGTTGATCTGCTCAAAAGCAATTTCTCCAGGTAGAGTCATATTGGCAGTTAGCACTTAAAGGTATGAGTTTTAGGGTGGTACATTTCAGTCTATAACACTTAAAGGGGCTACATGGTCTGACTCACAGACAGCCATCTCTGGGGAGGATAGAGATTTTGAAATGAGTGTTAGGATTCTTACAGTATTACTTTCAGTACTAACTCCATTGAAAGTTGTGCATGCATGCACACACACACAGAAATAAAGAATCTTGCACATATAAATACATACTACAGTGGAAATGCCTAATGATTGCTACCTATAGGTAACATCAATATAATAACCATAAGGTGGCAAATTAGCAAACCATTAAAAAGAGTACTGGAAAGAATGACAACAGAATCTGCAACTACAAAAATATGTGTATATATATATATATATATGATATTCAATATTTATAGTTGCTAAAAGATAAATACTGATGTGTGGAAAATAAAACCTAAATCTTACCTTTCATTATTACAGACTATGCTACATGAAGAATGTCTTCCCAAAACCATTCACTGGGTTAATGCTGTGGCATAGTATGTTAGGTCTTCAACTGCAGCACCAGAATCCCATATGGGTGCCAATTCAAGTGCCAGCTGCTGCACTTCCAGTTCTGCTCTTGGTAATGGCCAAGAAAGCAGTGAAAGATGGCCCAAGTTCTAGGGCCCCTGCAACCATGTGGCAGACCTAGAGGATGTTCCTATCGCCTGGCTTTGGATCATCCCAGCTCCAGCCATTGTGGCCATTTGGGGAGTGAACCAGTGGATAGAAGACCCTTCTTTCTGCTTCTCCTTTATGTCCATAGCTGCTTCTCAAATAAAAAATAAATCTTTATAAAATATTGAAATATCTTCACATTTTAAATTTTGGCTACTCAAAGCTAGCACAGGACTACATTATACATAGGAAAGATAGATCATGAAAATCATAAATGTAATGCATTGTAGCAAAATTTTCACAAATACTTCTGATTTTCTCAGCACTAGATACTAAATTAATGACATAGTGAGTCATTGTGGGTTTTTCAGCTCTTTGACAACCACTTGTAGTACTTTACAGCTTTTCCAAATTTATCACTATGTGTGTTTTTCAAAACATGCACTGGATTTCACCAGTTTAGTGGACATGAATTTGCATTTTAGTGGCACATGTAATCAACCTCTGCAAAGCCTCCAAAACATAGAAATAATATCATGGATCAGTTATGAGACTTACATTTTATTGAGTTCAATTCTTTTAAGCTAATTTGTCATTAGTATGTGGCAATTACAAATATAATTAATAATTAAGCATATAAGCATTAAAATTGAATGATTCATAGAATTTGGAAATGATAGTGTGTAGCAGTGGGGACACATTTTTTAGTATTGATGAGGATTACTTAAAATCTAAATAAGAAGCTATTCTTGTAAACTCCCAAAGACATACGGGAAGTAAAGAAATACCACAGAAAGTAAGAGCAAAGAGACTTGGTGCTGTTTGAAACCTGGTCTGCTTTCTTATCCCCTGTTGTGACACAATGAAATGGAAACATCAGGAATCCTCTCATCTCTGCCACCAACTGAAGGGCAAGGCATCGTCATTTGTTCTGACTCCAGTTACCTGTTGCCAAGAATACGTTCTGGGTGAATGTGGCTGAGAGGTAGTGCCCTGTCCTATCTGAATGATGGAGGCTATGTATTTGTCAAGGGAACACATAGATCCCATCTTCCACTACATGTCATGTCCACAGTAAGCATGTCTACTGAAACTGAGCACATTTGTGGTGAATTTAGGTTGGAAGTTTGTGGGATAAGGAAGATTCTCTCTCTCTCTCTCTCTCTCTCTCTCTCTCTCTGTGTGTGTGTGTGTGTTTCAAATAAGTAATTTTGTTTAAAAATAACTCAATTCAAATTTCTGATATGGCTCAAAGGCCTTCACCTACTTGAGGCATTGCTTCCTGGGAGGTGTTTTTCAGTATGTGATTTTGCAGGAAGTTGGAAAGGGAGCAGTCACTCAATTGGTACTTTGTAGTGAATCTTGGCTAGATCTTATCTCTTCCACAAGCAGGCCCCAGGGTTTTCCAGAAGATAACTGTGTCAAAAAGGAAAACCTGAGAAGGCAAATGCTTTACAATGTGTGCTTCTCGCATGTCCTGATGTCTCATAGGTGAAGGAAGTGAAATGGTGAAATCCAAGGTCTTGTGAAGGGATGGATACAGGGAATGATGTTATTTGAAATCATTTCTGGAAAAGTATACTACATTAAATATATATTATGTATGGTTGTTCCAATGCAATTTTGGCCAAAAATATGAAGTGTAAGTTACATACTTTCTATAGACTTTCAGGTCTAAAAATACAAGAAGTTTTCTAGTGTACACACATATATGGAATCCTGTATGGTACTTTTGAAATCATAGAAAAAGAGTAAATTCAAAATAACTTCTTTAGTGCAAACTTTAGTGAAAGGCTGAAAGGCCTGAAAGAGCATCTCAGGCATGGAAAGACAAGACTTTGTGGAAAAAGAAAAAAAAAAAACCTACATGGAGGATCTCTGCGAGACCACAGAGGAAAGGAAGAGTCATCAAAGAAGGAGACACTCTTCTCTGAAGGGAGAGGGGAACATTCTCTTTGCTAATGGCTGTGTCCAAATAACGACAGGGTCTATGGTCATGAAAGGGCTCCATATCCATGGCAGCTCACAACAAGAGCCTCGGGTGATCACTGACATCATAAAAAAAAAGTGTTAATTGTTAAAGGAACAATAGTAGTCAGTGTGCACTTGCTCCCCAGGTAGGACATCTGTCCCTAATGAATTGCAATATGAGAATCAACTGCAGATTCTCTCCCCAAACTGTACTCTATATTGTGTGTGGGTGTGGGGGCAAATTGTTGAACTCTATGATTAACATAGAGATGGTCCTCTATATATAAAGTCATACTAAAAATTATCCATAATGAAGGTGATGGGAGGTGGGAAGGGAGCAGGGTAGGGGGCATGAGGGAAAGAACCACTGGATTCCTAAAGTTGTATCTATGTAAAAATTGCATTCATCAAATAAATAAAATCTTAAAAAAATAAATTTTAGTGACAACATAATGTTTATCTCTTTGATAACCTCCTTTATTTGAGTAGTTGCCCTTACAGTTTTTTTTTTTACTATTATCTCATTATTTTACAAAATTTGTTTACAGTGCTTTCTCTTCCAGGTGTGACTCTGGGCACCTTCACATATTTCCAAGAGCAAAGAAAATACATCACCTGGAAGCGGATTTCTTAATTATTCCTCAGCTTATAGTCAGTTTTTATTTTAGGAAATCTATAATTGTTTATTAATTAAAAAGGAAAATAAACATAATTTTATTCTCAGAGAATATCCACAAATAAGATGAATGACAAATGTGGCATGATTATGAAACATTGCATTCATCTAAGATAGGGCAATTTGGTCTCTTTTCTTTCTGTTGCCATGACAAAATATATATTACATGTTTGAGTTAAACCTCAGTGCAAAATATCCAAAATTTTTTGGATCATGATGTCAAAAACTGTCTTTATTGTCACATACATGATGTAGTGGTCAGTGTTTTAGTGCTACTCTGAAAATAAACAGTTAGCATTCTACAAAGGTAAAAATTGCCTGGTACTAAAACACAGATCAGTTAAGTTCGTTTCTGAATTTTTAGAGTAATGCAGTCTTTAATAGTTTTGAAGAGATGAACTTGATTCAGGTATAGGATCCAAAATGTGGGAAAAAGAGTCTAGTGCAGGTTATTTTGTATTTTTAAGATTTATTTATTTATTTTTTTGAAAGGCAAAGTTACATAGATTGGGAGAGACTGGGGGGAGAGAAAAAAAGATATCTTCCATCTTTCTGCTCCATTTTCCAAATGGCCACAATGGCTGGGACTGGGTCAGGCTAAACCAATAGCCTGGGACTCCATCTTGGTCACCCATATTAGGGGATGGGGCCCAAATACTCAGCCTGTCTTTCAGTACTCTTTCAGGTATATCAGCAATGGGGCTGGGTTGGAATGGAGAGGCAGGACTCAAATTGTAAGCTCACAAGGGATGACAGAATTGCAGATGGAGGTTTAACCTGCTACATCACATTGCTGGTGCCTACTGCAGTTTCTTAAACAAATCTTTATGCATTTCTCTCAATTAGTCAGAAATGCAGATTGTAGTGTGGACTTCCCCAAGTACTGTTTTTGGGCAAATAATTCCATTCTTTTCCTTTAATTTGACGTAATGTTATTTCAGTTCCTCAGATGTTCATCAGTAGAATAGTCATAGACAAAGCCAAAAGCTATTTTCTATTGTCTGTCTTAAATGAATGTTCTCTCTTATTTAAAAATATTTATGAACTTGATAGCAGAAGAAGTTAATGGACAGAAAGAGAGAGAGAGCTCCCATGCATGTATTCACTCCCTAAATAATGATACCACGCAGAGGTGGGCAGGATTGAAACCAGGAGTTAGGAATGGAGTCTAGGCCTGCCTCATTGATGGCATCACTACTGTTTCCCCAGTTCTGCATTAGCTGGGAGCTGGAAACTAGAACAGGCACTGGAAATCCAACCTGGGCACTCTGAAGTAGGGTTTCTCAGCTGGCGTCATAAACACTAAACTAAATGCCTGCCCTCCCTTTGAATTATTTCTCCTCTGCCATATTTGAAGTGACTGTGGATGATGTTTTCCTGGAAATTCTTCTGTGTTCATTCTCATTAAAGCTTCACTGATAGGATCTTGTCTTTTTTCCTACATACTTCTAAATTCTTCACTTTAACATTGCTCACTCAAAAGTCAGTATTATCCCCCTTTCAGCCTGTTATGTAATCCCCTTGACAGATGTAGCCCTTTTGATCTGAAAGTCCTCTTTCCCTCTAGCTTGGGCATTTTTCACAGCTTTCAGACAATAGTTTGACTCCCTGTTTAATGCTTCTAATGTGGTTGTCCAAATGCTCAAATCTAAAATGAAACCACATCCTTCCTTCTTCCTTCAAACCTGTATACAAGATATAAAACTTTCAGTGTTTGTTTTGTGACAGAGTTCATATGTTGACTGGAAGTGTTCCATTGCAGGTGATGATAGGATTTGAAGACCTGGCTGTGTATTTCACCTGGAAAGAATGGCAGAACATGAATAATGCTCAAAAAATCTTGTACAGGGATGTGATGCTGGAGACCTACAGCATCCTGTTCTCCTTGGGTGAGTGACACCCATCACATTCCCAATGGTAACATTTTTTTGCTCTTTGACAAATAAATAAGCACTTTATAAAGTATAATGTTTGGAAGGTGTAGAATTTGAGAACATGAATAATCTGAATTTCTAACATCAAGAAAGGGTTCAAATTGGTACCTTTGTTGCAGAGCACCTGGACCAAGCTGTAGTCTTAAATAACCCAAGATTGTGAGTTCACAAAATCTGACATTGTTTCCATTAATAGGGCACTGCATGACCAAACCTGACTTGATCTTGAAGTTGGAGCAAGGAGCAGAGCCCTGGATGGGAGAAGAATGCCTACATCAGAGTCTTCCAGGTCAGTCTGCACATAATGGGCAGGGAGGCCAAAGTAGAAGCAGTGCATCAGATGCTGACTGGTGTTCTTTCCATGAATTTTTCTTAAATCTTTCTCCTGATGAAAGCCGGATTTGTATATTTGGTATTCTAGAATATCTAGGGATACCAATGTCTGTCTCTTTTTTTCTTGGTGAAGATGTTCTTTGTATTAAAAAAAAATTCCAATGCTTTTCTGGTGTTACTAAGGCTTTTTTCCAGGTTAGATTCATTCTATAAATTCTAACTTGTCATTCTCCACACTTTCATATCTTTTCCTTCATGCATTTATTAATTCCTTCAGTGGTTGCTAATTGCACAGTTATAGAAACTTTTTTCTTACTTATTGCTCATGGTTTTGGCCAGGCACAGACCTTGCTATTTTAAGCATCTTATAACTGCACCAATAATTGTGAGCTCTCTTTCTTTGTCTCTTTTTCCTTTTGTTTTTTCTCTAGGCCTCTCAAATAAATAAGAAAATGATAGATTGTTGGAAACATTTGAGGAGTGAGCCTGTGGCTGGCAACCCTCTCTTTTATTCTCTTTGTGCCTCAATCTTTGTCTCTTTGGCTTTGAAGTAAATAAATGAGTAAATGCTAAAAGATGATCAGGAGTAAGCCTCTGTACTGTGACATCAAAAATCATAAAGCTAAGCATGAACTTGTATAGGAACATGAAAATAAGTGATCCTAGACTCACCAAGAAATTCATGAGTTTCTCAATTCCAAGGTCAACTAACATTATAGATTCATGTTGAATGGCTCAGATTTGTTTGGGAGAAGAGTTTGAATTATGAATTCTTATTTTTCATTGTCATTGAGAAACAAGAAAATGACAAAACAGCATAGGAAATGGAGTTTTCTGTGGAAATAGGAGACAATTAATCAAAAGCCTCCAGAAACTCAAATTATCACAGAGGAATGTTTATAGAAAGAATTGAGAGCAGATAACCACAGCTGGTGTTTTTAGAATGAGTTAGAAAAGACATTTCAAAGAAAGTGAACACAGCCCGGGTTGTAGAAACATATTCTTTAAACTGATAGGGAGTTTATACCCAGGATGGTATACTGTGGCTTTTCTGTACCAGTAGCAAATATGAGAAGCTGAAGATGTCAGATTTACTTAGGAATATGGGGAAACTGTCATAAAGTGCAGACAAAAGAGTTTTTCATTTGAAAAATCCTACATATGCTATTTCCTGGGTAAGACTGAACATAAGGCAATCATACATTCAAATACTGTTCCTTAAATGTGGTCCTGTTTAAAATACAAACACATTTCATTCTTCTTCACCTTAAAGTAAATGATCCAGTAAAACTTTCTCATATTTCTACCTGAAATATTAGAGAAGTACAAAATACACAATTTTTATAAATATAAACTGTAGCAAAAGCACAAGGAAAAAAATTGTTGCTAGGCAATGGGTGAAAATTTTTGCTAAATATTTGTCCACTCATTGAAATCTTGTGTAGTTGTTTCATCTCTGTGAAAAGCAGAATGACAATGAGAGGAGAGAGAAATCTTTTAACTCACTCCGGAAATGACTGCAACAGTTAGGTCTGACTAGTCTTTAGCCAATAGTCTGGAATTCTATCTAGTCTTCTCTGGTGCATCACAGGGTCCCAAGCACATGAACCATCATCTGCAGCCTCCCAGGTTACATAAGCAGAGAGCTGTATTCAAAGCAGAGCTGTATTGGAGGCAGAGGAGTCTGGTCTCAAACCGGCACTGCTTTTGGGTGCAGGCATCCCAAGCAGGGTTAATACATCTTACCACAAAAGCCATTCTGCCATACCTGAACAGAATTCAGGTAGTGAACAAGATCGTGATTGAACTTTGGGAGACCTATTGATGCAATTCAATATATTAATATATTAAGGAGAAAAACCATATAATGACCATAACTAAGTTTCTCGTATTAATTTTGTTAATATCTTATGCCATTTGAATACAAAGTAACTTTCCATTTACATAAGTTAGCAAGGAGAAAGTTATATGTGATTCAGTGAAGTGGTTGTTTGTTTTTTTCTCATTTCAGTTGCTGTGAAAAGTGATGACCTGGTTAGCAACAGCCAGGAATGTCAGGACAAAAGTCTGAATCTTAATGTCAAGAAAAATAACAAGACATCAACTCCAAAGATAGTTGAATTAAGAAAAATATTTAATTTAATTTCAAGCCATATTCCCAAACTAATTATCAGAAAGAGAAATTATTTAAGAATGAAACCCAAAGAATGCAATATATGTCACAATGTGTATCCCCAAAGTGGGTCTGATCAACTGCAAGCTGAAGAGAAATTTGATGCCACTAAGGTGCCTGGGAACTCTCTCCAGTTCTATGAGCCTCTTAGTCAGTGTCACAAGATTCAGACTGTGAAGCAGACATCTGAGCATATTGGACAAGGGAAAGTCTTCACAAGGAAGATGTTCTGTAAATCTGAGAGGGTTTGTAAGGGAGAAACCTGTAATAAGTCAGCTATCACTGTTGGAAAGGCAACTCAAATAGTAAATGCTTTCCACGAAAGCTCTAACCTCAGTACACATCAACAAACCCACACAAGAGATAAATTTTATGAATATGTTAGGTATGTGGAGCCTGTTATTTACCGATCACATCTTGCCATAAATCAGAGACCGCATTTGGAGAAAAAACCCTGTGCAGGTAAACCCTGTGAAAAATCATTCAGTTGTAATTCCTGCCATAGCATCCATCACAGTACTCACACACAGGGAAACCCCAATATGTGTATTGAATGTGGAGAGACCACTCACCAGGAGTCAGATTACATTAGACAACAGAAAATTCACATACAGATGAAACCTCATGAGTGTATTGATAGTAGAAAAGCCTTTTTCCCAAAACCATACCTCATAACAGAACAGAGAATTCACACAGAGGAGAAACTTCATGAATATAATGACTATGGAAAAGACTTTTTGAACAAATCTGACCTCAGTAATCAACAGAGAATTCACAAAGGGCAGAAGCCTTATGAATGCAATGACTGTGGAAAAGCCTTTGGTCAGAAGTCAAACCTCACAATGCATCAGAGAATTCACACAGGGGAGAAACCTTATAAATGTTTTGACTGTGGAAAAGCCTTTGGCCAGAAGTCAAACCTCATAATGCATCAGAGAATTCATACAGGGGAGAAACCTTATGGATGTAATGACTGTGGAAAAGTCTTTGGCCAGAAGTCAAGCCTCATAATTCATCAGAGAATTCACACAGGAGAGAAACCTTATGAATGTAATGTCTGTAGAAAAGCTTTTGGCCAGAAATCAAGTCTTATAATGCATCAGAGAATTCACACAGGAGAGAAACCTTATGAATGTAATGACTGTGGAAAAGCCTTTGGCCACAAATCAAACCTAATGATTCATCAGAGAATTCACACAGGGGAGAAACCTTATGAATGTAATGACTGTGGAAAAGCCTTTGGCAATCAGCCAGACCTCATTAGACATCAGAGAATTCACACAGGGGAGAAACCTTATGAATGTAATAACTGTGGAAAAGCCTTTGGCCAGAAGACAAGCCTAATAATGCATCAGAGAATTCACACAGGGGAGAAACCTTATGAATGTAATGACTGTGGCAAAGCCTTTGGCCAGAAGTCAAGCCTCAGAATGCATCAGAGAACTCACACAGGTGAGAAACCTTATGAATGTAGTGACTGTGGAAAAACCTTTGGCCAGAAGTCAAACCTCATAACGCATCAGAGAACTCACACAGGTGAAAAACCCTATAAGTGTAGTGACTGTGGAAAAGCCTTTGGCAATCAGCCGAACCTTGGCAGACATCAGAAGTCTCACAGGAGAGTAACCCTATTAATGTAATGGCTGGAAAATACTTTTTCCTGAGGGCAAGCCTAGTAATACATCATAAAACTCACACAGGGGAGAAACCTTATGAATGTAATGACTGAGGAAAAGCCTTTGGAAATATGTCACAACTCAGTGTGTCAGAGAATTAGCAAAGGAGAGAATTGTCATGAGTGTAATGACTGAAAAAGCCTTTTATGAAAAAGCACAACTCCTACACACCAGAGAATTCACACAGGTGAGAAACCTTATTAAGCTAATGACTAATGGAAAAGCTTTTGGCCAAAAATCAGACCTCCTTGAACACCAGACAATTCATGCAGGGGAGAAGCCTTATGAATGTAATGAATGTGGAAAAGCCTTTGGCAATAAGAGAACTCAATGCACCAGAGAATTCACACAGGGGAGAAAGCTTATGAATGTAATGACTCAAACTTTTTAACTGTAATTCACCCCTAATTGCACATCATCAAATTCATATAGGGGAAAACCCTTTTGAATGTAATGCATGTGAAAAAGCCTTTATCTGGAAGTAACACCTCTTAAGACATCAGACATTACATGGGGAAAAACCTTATGAATATAATGAATGTTGGAAAGCTCTTTGCCAAAACCATGCCTTATAACATCAGAGAATTCACAGGGTAGAAACTTTTGAATGTAATAAATGTAAGAGATCCTTTTGTCAGAAGTAATGCCTCACAACAAATCATGGAATTCAAACAAAGGAAAGAGTTTAAGAATATACTGAACATGGAAGAGCTTTTTCCCAAAATCAATGTAATCTTGTGACAAAGCCTTTTGTTAGAAACCATGCCCCCATACAATTGGGACTCATGTAAGGGAGAAAGCTAATGAATGTTATTAGTGTGAAAAAAGCCATTCATCAGAAATCAATTGTTATAATCAAAGAATTCACACAGGGGGTTTCTTACAAGTGTAATGAGTGTAGAAAAGTATTTTCCTGGGATTCATGCTTACATTGGTACAGAATTCATAAAAGAGGAACCTTCAAATGCAGTAAATATGAGAAAACCTTCAGCCAGAAATTAGATATCAATAGATATCAAAGAATCCATAAAGAAAAAAAAATATAAGGAATGCTTTAAAAAATCAGTCTTCAGTTCACAAGAAGTGACTCAGAAATGAGATTACCATAAGTCATCTCTCAATAGTTAACTGAGAGCTCACCAAAAGGAAAATCCTTTGACTGTAATGCAATTGGAAAAACCTTTACTGTAAGGCAAGCTTCTGCAAAATTTAGCAAGATTACAGGGAGAAGTCTCTGAAAATGTCATGTGTCTAGAAGAATTCTTAGATACAACCACACCTCATCAAGTGTTAGGCAATTCACATGATGAATTGTGACTGAGATGGGCTAACCATGCTTCCATGTGTAAATTTTGCTAACAAATATTCAACAGTTGCAACAGTTGATTCAACAGTTATTGTAAGAGTTACTTGGAATATCTTTACCAATTGCAAAGTTATTGTTGTATAGCAGTGTTATTGCCTGCCTAGGATTCTTTCTCCACATCATTGTAGTATTGTAGTACAAATAAGTGATATGACCACAGGCATATGAACTGACACATGTTCCAGCCATAATTCTGTACTCCAGCCCTGGGTGATGAGTGTTTCATCCAGTATAGGGAATGAGCATGTGGTCACCTGTATACTCATGTGAACTTCCAAGTTATATGTGTGCATTTCTGGATTAGACTATACTACCTGTGGTCTGTTTGTATATTCAAGTAGAAGTTTTTGCACACATCACCCTCATTCTATAATGGGAGTATCTCAAATCCTATAAATTGCAAGACTTTATCTCCTAAATTTTCCTGTATTACTGAGTGTGCAATCCATTTTGAAATATTTCATTTATGATCCCCTATTTTATTCTTTCTTCCTTTAATTTCTTGCCCAGAGACAAGGATTTGAGTTGTATTACTCCCTACTGCTAAAAGTGACCCTCAGTTTTATTGAAAATGTGTGTTTTCTTCCTTTCCCAATTTATACAGTCCTTTCTGGATTTTAATCAGATTTACATTCAGTTCAGACCTCAGGATATACTTAGGATGGACAGTCTACCCAAGTTGCGTGACTATTCCATGATAGATGGGCTACAAATGCTATGATATCATCTAACTGTAATGTCTCTTTTATTTCCCATCTGGAGGACAATCCTGTATATCATCCTTCTACCTCCATTTCTGCCCATTGGGCAAAGCTCATTGTCCCTGTTCAAGTGCTTCAGCTTCTTTCAAGTCTTCATCAAATCAAATCTTAGTATAATCAGAAATTTAAAAGAAAGTGAATGGTGTGGCTGTTGGCAGTTTCAGTGTGGTCAAGTAATTTGCTGGACTGCTATTTTGTCTGGGTTGGCTTCCATCTTACTCAGAACTAATTTTCCGTAATATTGTATGGCTGAGGACTTTTTCTAGGCCCCCAACTAAGTTGGTGCATTTCTTATGGAAGGTGGGAGTATTATGTCCAAATATTTTATATATGTGATTGTGTTAAAGACCTTTGGATTGTGTTAACTGGGGTTTTCCATGTAGTCCTGGCTGGAATCACATGTGTGCTCACAATCCAAAGGCAAAAGGAGGTTTATACTCAAAGAAAATGAAAATCAATGTGATCATGAAGGCAAAGATGAAAGTGATGTAATCATAAAGACAGAGGCTACCAGAAGCTGGAGTTGGCAATGAAAAGATTATTCTGTAGATACTGGCTGGAGCACAGACCTTATTCCCTGCATTTCAGTTTGAGCCAGAGAGAGTGATTTCACTTTTATCCTTCAAATAGTGACAGTATACATTTTCCGTTTTTTAAGTCATTAAGCTTGTGATCATTTTTGACAGTAACAAGAGGTAACCAGATTCTCTTGCTACCAACCTAGAGCTGACTGGAATTTCATGAAACATGAGCACAAACTGGTGGTAGAAGTAAAAAAACTGATCATATCTGGGGAATTTGACAGAAACTTGCTAGTAGGGTCAACAACAGATGGATCAATTAGCTCCTTGATCCACATCTAAGTATTAATACATGAAAATTATTTTCTTATAATTATCATTGTTGGAATATAAATAATGTGATGTGCCTCTGGAAGCCATTTCTTAAATATGGATGGAATATGATTCTTTTGGTTTATTTGTTTTATGTCATTTTTGCTTTTCCAATGTTTCTAATCACTGATGCCTGAATAAATTTCTTTCTTCTAAAGTTCATTGTGATATATTTTATTTACAAACAATCCTCAGGGACAGGGAGAGAACAGTTATTGTCAGAAATCCACTAATTCCTTGAATTTTTGTTTTGGAGTTCATTTCCTACATGAGTTATGGGTTCTATTGAAAGAGGTAT